GTCCCATCCCCCAATGACCCTCAAGCCTGCTTCTAACTGGAGCGTGACAGTTTGGGATCTGTGGTGGTAAAGTGACATGTGAGAGCCATGGAAGCTTGAAGACATGGTTAGAAAGTTTCTAGAGATGACCATCTAGAGAAACTCAGCCAAACCCAGAAAGTCCACAGCCAAAGATGACAAAAGTTAAGCCACAAATAGTTTGGGGAAATACCAAAGTAATCGTCAGGGATGCCTGAAACCACAGGCAGAGAAAACTGAATTCCTTGCAGTCAAAGGGGGGTAAGGGCTGAGGAGATGACTCAGTGGCAAAAGCATTTGAGACCAAACCTGATGACCTGAGTCCCATCCCTTGACCCCACATGGCAAAGGGTCAAGAACTGACCCTATATGTTGTCCTTTGATGTTCACATGAGCACTGTGGGGCACACACACAAATAAATTGTGGTTTTAAAACAATTAAAAGGGGGTCGGGGTGAGACAACTGTTCACATCTAGATTGCTGAGTGCTTAAAGGGACAGGTGATAGGTCAACCCGTGTCCAAGATATAAAGAGATTAACTAAATGCACCCACATCTAACCTTGCAAGGATTTCTGAAAAGAACTCAGGATTCCTGAGTTGTTCTGGACTTTGAGACAAGGAAATCATCTTGAAGCTGGGTCCTGGTCATCTACCTCTGAGGCCAATGGTATATGACCAGATTCTGACAAGGAATTGCCTTTGCCTATATTGACGTCAGTTAATGACTGGACTTTGGACTTGAAAGACAGTTAAAACTCCAGGCTGCTGAGGAGAGGATTCATTTCCTCCTTGGATTATCAAGCAAGAACAGCTACCATGAGAGGCTCCTTGCTTCTCTTTCTCAGCCTCCTTTTGGTCATCTTGGGTAAGAAACCTTTGTTGTTGTAACCCGATTACTTCAGTCAGCTTTGTGGCTTCCGAAATGGAAGCAGCAGGCTGTGCCTACCACTTCTTGAAGCTCCTGGTAGCCTCCACTTGGGACTGTTTTCTGTAAAAGAAATTTCTTGTCCAGCTCAGATCAAAGACGCTGCCATTTTTGTTTGTGGCTGAAAAGACAGTGGTAGCAAAAGAAGTCTAAGAGTGACTTTGGGATGCAGCAGGGCGGAGGTTTGTCTGGATAAAGGTGACTCAGTGTTTCAAGGGTCAGATACCCTACAGTGGCAAGCTGGGTGTGTTTCTGGTTTCTGAGATCATCAGAGAGCCAGGCCCAGAGGGGAAATACCTTTATTTTCATAAACGCTTGAAAATTGGAAGTCATTGGCCAAAAAGAGCAATTCCAGTGTGGGTTAGCACTGATACAGGTACCCTTCTTCTGGGCTGGGGAGTTGTTTGGGTGTGAGTGTGTAAGAAATTTGCCCACATGCTTGAAAGAGGACTCCAGATCTAGAAGCCAAATGAGAAAAGGAATAAGGCATTTGCCACAGTGGAAGAGGGAAGAGAAACTGAGTATTTTAGTGGACCGTTTGTTTTGCTTTGTTCTCTTTTTGGAGACAGGATCTCTATGGATAGTAGATGAACTTCGGCTTCTGATTCAATTGCCTTGGAGTGCTGGGTTATAGGAATGAGCCAATGTGGCCTGTAAGATATGACTTTTTAAAAAGACTTATACTACATTTACTTACCTAGGGTGCATATGTGTGGAGGTCAGTGAACAACTTTCAGAAATGGTGTCTCTCACTGTATGAGGGGGATTGAACTCGGGCTGTCAGCCTTGGCAGCAAGCTCCTTTCTTCACCTCTTGAGTCGAGACACTTCTCTGGCCCAAGATTTCATTTTTATTTTATTTTAAGAGCTGGTTTCAAGCTTGGGTGTGGGTAGCTATCCTAACAGGAGGGTAGACCTCCCCAGACCGACCTCCCCTGCCAAGCCTCTGGAAGGCCCCATGGCCAAACCTTCAGGTCTCAGTAAGAACTGGTACATGACTTCTGGAAGTCACCATGAAGATACCTTCCATAAGACATAAGAAGAGAATACTGAGAAGGGACGCTTTTCTGGGAGGGCTTTTGGAAGTGGCTGGAGGTCAGAGAATCCATTGACATTGATCTCAAGACCTTCTAGGTGTAGAAAAGAGCCTTCACCCAAGAGAATTCCCCAGCAGAGGACAGTAGTAGAGTCCACACTTCAGAGGAAGGCAGGCAGGGATCCAAATACTGTGTAGTGAGTGACTGATGTGGTTTCTTCCTGTGTGATAATAGAAGAGGCAGCCCTGTGCGGAAGAGTTGCAGCCCATGTCAGGAAGCTAATAGTCACCTTGCCACTTAGTGTCATATCTGCCCTTGTATCCAAATTTTTGTTGTTGTTTCGTTTTTCCAGACAGGTTTTTTATGTGTGACAGCCCTGGCTATCCTGGAACTTATTTTGTAGACCATGCTGACCTCAAACCCACAAAGATCCACCTGCCTCTATTTCCTGAGTGCTGGGATCAAAGGTGTACACTACCATGCCCTGCCCTTGTATTCAATTTTTAAACATCTGTGTCTGCTCTTGTTTAAAAGTTATTTTAGTAATGTAGACTGGGTGTAAGATGTTCATGACACCCAGAAATGCATGAAAGGAAGTGAGACCTGCCCTGGCATCCCCTGGCACATAGACTACAGTGGGCAGCTTTGCTCTTGAAAAATAAATTTTTTCACTCCTATAGAACCTTGAGAAGTTGTCTGGTGTGTGAATGCAGCTGCCATGTCGGTTTTAGCAGCCAAGGGCAAGAAGTGGATCTTGTACACCTTCCACCTTTCCCACCTAGAAGCGTCCTAAGTACTTCCTGAACCATGAAGACTCAGATGACATCCAAAGTCCCCTCAGCAGGCACCATTTGCCAATGTTTTGCTCTTCTCTGAGCTCTATGGCTGCTCTTTCCCATGGCATCAAGTGGGAACCAACATCTCTTACTATTGAAGGACTTTTATTTGACGGAAGCATTTTGTTGTGACTCTCAGCTAGCATTAGCTACAATATGCTCTGGGCAGAGTGTTCTAGAAAAGAGTCCATTCAGGGAACATTTTTTTCTCAGTTAAGCAATAGTTGGCATCCTGTATGTGCTCTGTGAGTGTAGGACTCTTGTTGTGTTGGTCAGAAAGCAGTTCTCAGATCTGAGGGAATAAAAAGATGGAAGCTGGGGTTGGAGAGATGCCTCAGTGGTTAAGAGTGATCTAGCCTCATCTCCCAGTCCCCACAACTACCTGGAACTCCAATTCCAGGGGATTCAACACTCTCTTTCCTCCACAGGCCCTCGGCTAAGTGGTAGTTAAGGCAATGACACATTTCAGGTGTGGTGGCTCATGCCTTTAATTCTAGCACTTGGGAGAAAGAGGCAGGCTGATCTGTGTGAGTTCAAGGCCAGCCTGGTCTACAGAGTGAGTTCTAGTACAGCTAGTTACAGAGGCAGGACAGGGCAGTTACGGAGAAACCCTGATACAGGCAAATTATCTTGACCTCATGTTGATGGGGTCTTCACACATGGGCATTTATGGGTCTCGTAGATCCCATCAGGCACAGAATAAGTCCTTGATAAATGAGGAAGAGGGGCAGTAATGTTCACATGTGACTATGGCCAGCTCGTGACTATTTATTTTCTTGGCCCTAGAAAGAAGAACAATTGCTTATCTTCTTGTCACTTCTGAGCCACTGGTAGCCAAGTCTGAGCCACTGGTAGCCAAGTCCTATCTAAGCTGAAGAGCCAGGCTCTGTCCATGGGGAAGTCAGAGTGAACCTTCAGCATTTTGTATCACTGAGCTTTATGAATCGCTTCCTAACCACAAAGGGTTTCTTTTACTAGTATGTATAATCTGTGGTCAGTATCAGAGTTCTTAGACACAAGAGGAGTTCCAGGAGATGAATCACTAAAAGTTACTCTTCCAAGCATCCTGGGGAAGGGGAGTAGGGATGGAGCTTCTAGTACCTGTAAATGCAGCTTTGATATCTACCATAGTCTTTAGGATGTGGGCCATTTATTTATCTTATTCTTTCAAAGTACATGTGTCTACAATTTTTAGTGGAGAAATTCCCAGAAAGAACCTAGGCCAGCACTTGGGAAGATTGTGAGTTTGAGGCCAGCTAGACTGTACAGCAAGACCGGTCTCAAAACAAAACAAAACAAAACAAAACAAAACAATACAAATAAAAAGCCTGGAAGAACTTTAATCAGGATGTAATGAAATATTTCTATGTAATCTATCTAATTATTCTTTAAACACTTCCTTCTAAAATTCCCCTTCTAACGTCTATTAATAGAGAAAACTGCCACTCAATGAAGAACTGGAGCAGTTGCCTTAAAATATAAAAAAAAAAAAACCTACTTCCTGGTGGCGATAGTGCCACCTTGTGGTATTTTCTATTTTCTTCCTCTGAATTGTATGGGAATTTATTAAACACAGATTGACAATTTTCTAACTATAGATACAAACTTTGCTATTACTTGGTACTTATCTCTTTTTTCATTAAGATATGGTTTCATGTAGCTCAGGCTATCCCCAAACTTGATAGGTAGCAAAGGATGACCTTGAAATAGCAAGCCTCTTCCCTCTGGCCCCAAAGTTCAGGTACTTAGTTCAGCATTATTTATTTTTTTTTATTTTATTTTCATTTTTAAGACATGGCCTCATGTAGCCCAGGCTGGCCTCCACAGGTATATACTACCTCTGCTGACTTGGTACAGTTCATAACAAATATCACCCCAGTTCTACACTAAGTTCTCCACAGCTATCACTAAGCAATATTAGGTGTCAGAGTTTTCAATAACATTTTCCACTTTTGTCTGTTTAATTTATTTGTTTGTGTTTAGAAGTTGTCCTGTGTTTCCACTTTTAACATAATCATATATATTTATTTTTTCAGAAACTCCTAAGTTGAGAACTGATTAGAACTGACAGTAATTGCTATTATTTATCCAATGCACTGATACTTGTCTTCTTTGTTCCCTCAACCAAAATCATGACAGCCTCTCCCTCAAGTACTGCCAGTAAGACAAAAAATGCAGTTATATCTGAGTCGTCTATGTCCTCTGGGTCTCCTGATGCTATAACTCAGACGCCTGTATCCTCTGGGTCTCCTGATACTACAACTCAGACGCCTGTATCCTCTGGGTCTCCTGATGCTACAACTCAGACGCCTGTGTCCTCTGGGTCTCCTGATGCTACAACTCAGACGCCTGTGACCTCTGGGTCTCCTGATGCTACAACTCAGACGCCTGTGTCCTCTGGGTCTCCTGATGCTACAACTCAGACGCCTGTATCCTCTGGGTCTCCTGATGTTACAACTGAAGTGCCTGTATCCTCTGCGTCTCCTGATGTTACAACTCAGATGCCTGTGACCTCTGGGTCTCCTGATGCTACAACTCAGTTGCCTGTGACCTCTGGGTCTCCTGATGCTACAACTCAGTCACCTGTGACCTCTGGGTCTCCTGATGCTACAACTCAGTCACCTGTGACCTCTGGGTCTCCTGATGCTACAACTCAGTCCCCCAATACATCCCAGTCTCCACAGACTAACTCTTCAGTAACAAATCCAAGTAAGAGTGATCCCTAAAAGTCTCCTCACTGGGGGGTGCACAACACTGAGTGGTGTGATGTGACAGTGTGTTCTGGAGAGGAAGGGAAATGGCCAGGAAAAAAACCTCAAAGTTCAGTCATGACAGAAGAGCCCCCAAGTGAGCAATCAGTTACATCTCCTTTTCCTTCCTGCTCCTCAGGCTACCTGCCAGCTATGGAATATTTTTTATGAGTTTGTTCTTTGTGAAAAATACCTATAGGAGAGTTGGAAGTAGCTTCAGGTTCTCCAAAAAGACCAGGTTTGACTAAATGCTGGCTTGTCAGCTACACTAGTCTTTAAGGAAGAAGTCAATTCTACCCCGGAGTCAGTCAGGAAGGATGGTGGTAGATCACAATTTAGAAATTGAGTCAAGCCTTTGAATTTGAGCCTGAGGGTTAAGAAGTCAAACAATGGCTGTCCTCAAACGGTTGCTGACTGACCAGGGCCCAACACAGCCATTTGTGTGTAATTGGCCATAAGCCAATGCTACTAAAGTGTCATCAAAGTTTATTGGTAACAGACAAACAGTACATATCTTAGGCTTTGTGGACAACACAGATCTCTATTAAAACTGTTAACTTCTGACATTTTAACAGAAAAGCAGCCATGCCAATGTAAAAATGAGTGAACTTGGCAATATCCCAATAAAATTTTATTTATAAAAATAAAGGGTAGCATAGTTACAGCTTATGAGCCATAATTTACCAACCTGGTCTGGGATGACTCCTCAAACTTCAGAGTTTAGAGTTCACATCTACTGTGCCAATCTCAGAGAAGGAAGATGGGGCCCATAGGAAACAGTGACCTGCCCAAAGAGAGTAAGTTTGTGTCTCCCTATCCTTTTGATCATTTCCCAAGTTTTCCTTGATAGATCTAAGAAATGGATGGTTAAGTCAACAGAACTCAGCCTGTCGATGACGCTGCCTCCCCTCAATCTTCTATGCATAGAAGGGCAGAGGGGTCACAGCTGTTGTGTGGACAGCTGTTGTGGACTCAGGATCAGGAGCTTCTCCAGGTCACTCCTGCTTCCCCCACAGCAGTTCCGTGTGAGCTGCTCATGTCGTCTAGCATAAGGCAAATGACTTCTCTTGGCTTCAGTGGACCCACTTAAGACTTTGTAATTAATACCAGGCAGTGATGGTGCACGCCTTAATCCCGGTACTCAGAAAGCAAAGGCAGGTGGATCTCTGAGTTCAAAGACAGCCTGGTCTACAGAGCTAGTTTCAGGACAGCCAGGAATGCACAAAGAAACCTTGTCTCCAAAAAAAAAAAAAAAAAAAAAAAAAAAAAAAGAAAGAAAGAAAAGAAAAAAAAAAAGAAAAAGAAAAGAAAAGCTCTCTGAAAAATATCCAGAATCTATGGAGATGAGGAAAATGGCAACCTGAGGCTATAGTTCAGTGGTAGAGTACTTGCCTAGAATGCATGAGGTAAGGCCTGGTTTCAATCCCTGGTTCTGAAAAACAAGGGAAGGGAAGGAAGGCCAAACAAGATCACCATTTGCTCACCTAAAGAACGTCCCTTCCTCAATCTCACCAGCTCTCTGGAAAAGGGACCTGAGACATGTGTGCCTGGCCCAGAACCTAGGTCAAAGTTCAGGAGCCATTGCAATATTCTTTATTCTGCATTCTCATTCACAGAGCCAAGGGTGTAGCACACCCTAGTTCCTCCCCTTAGGAACCTCACTGGGTTGCCCAGGCCATTCTACCCTGAATGAACCTGATCTTGGTTCATACTTAAATGGGAGGAAGTTCACTGGGTTAATCTGCACTTTCTGTCCTTTATTGTTCCCTTTCTTCCTCTATTTCTTTCTTCCTTTTGAGACAGAGTCTTGCTCTGCAGCCCTGACTGGCCTGAAACTTGCACTGTAGACCAGGCTGGCTTCAAACTTCCAAGAGATCCTGTGTCTACCTCCTGAGGGCTGAGATTAAAGGAGTATGCCATTATGCCTAGCTTTTTTCCTATCTTCATGAACATGTGTCAGCTCTGCTCATCAGAATATGACACCTAGTTTCCCTTTTGGAACTTTCTGCTATCCTGCCCTGTGTAGTGATTGCCACACTATTCTGTAAAAAGCTGCTTTATTCTGAAAAGGGTTGGTGGAGCTCTACTTAGTGGCAGAAAAGTGGGCACTGACGTCCCTGAGTACTGAAGAGTTCCAAAGATCCTTGACTCCCTACTGTTAGAAAGCTGCCTTTCTTCTCAAGTAGGGCTCTGTCCACCAGTCTCTTACCTTTACTGTCAGGGAGCACTCAGCTCTGAAACTGCAGCCTTGGTCTTCACCAGAGACCAACACAAACACAGACTGTGCCCAGCCCTCCTAAGCATGCATTGTCATACAGAAAGGGTATGGAGACCAGATATGGTGGCTCACACCTTTAGTCCTGGCACTTGGGAGGCAGAGGCAAGCAGATATTTGTAAGTTCAAGGGCAGCCTTGTCTCCATAGCAAGTTCCAGGACAGCCAAGGCTACACAGTAAGCCCATATCTCAAAAGAAAAACAAATGTGTCTAGAAGGAGAGTGTGAAGAGCAGATATGAGTCACTGGGAGATATTTGTTGAATTCTTGTGGATTTGTAATGTCTTCCTCCTCCATCTAAGGTTCCAGTGATCCTTGCAAGCCTAACCCCTGTGGAGCTGCTTCTTGTGTTAAACTGCATTCTGAATACTTCTGCTTGTGTCCACAAGGCAACTACTATCAAAACTTGTCATGTGTAAAAGGTAAGCTACAAGGGCTAACCACAGCAGAGCCCTGTATCCATATCTAAAGTGGGCTTTAGCGGAATCTCAAAGTGATAGTAAAGGGACAGAAAGCCAGGGGGCAGGTGAGAGTCTCTTGCTTTTTGTCCCAGCCAATCCTGGGGGAGTAGGGATAGAGTAAAGCAGATTTGCAAGCAAGCTAGGCTGAAGGTCTGGTGTGGGCAGAACCTTCCTTCTGCTGCTCTGGAATGTACTAGATACAAAGTGAGAGCAAGTGTTGCCAGAGCCCCTGGAAATGATGGCAAGACCTTGTCCAGGGGCACTGAGGCAGAAGAGGGTAGCAGGCTGGGTCCCTGAGCTGAGCTGTCACAGCTCCAGAAATAGACTTTGACTACACCTCAGTACAAGCTGGCTTAGACCGATAGGTGTGTGGAGCCCGAAGGCTGCCCATCTAAACCAGCAGTTCTCAACCTTCCCAGTGCTTCCAGCCTTTAATATGGTGCTTCACACTGTGGCCCCCCCAACCATAAAATTATTTTTGTTGCTACTTCATAGGTGTAATTTTGTCACTGTTAAGAATCGTAATGTAAATCTCTGTGTTTTCTGATAGCTTTAGGAGACCCCTGTGAAAGGGTCATTTGGCCCCCAAAGGGATCACCTCCCACAGGTTGAAAGCCACTGATCTAAATGATTCCTTTTTGTTCTGCTTCATGAATAAGAAATGACTTTTCTTGCTAGAGCAGGTCAGTGGTGTATGAAGTGTGTACTCTATGTTGCTCACAACAGTTAGAGACATATCTCCCAAAGTTTCTATTTTTGACACTAATAACCTAATTTCTGGGGATCTATTCTATATAAATGATCCCCCCAAACCCTTCTCTTTTAAATAGTGAGCATTAAATTCAAAATTTAAAAAAGGAAAAATTAAAAAAGGCAGACATGTTGGCATGTCTAAATTCCAGCACTCGGGAGGCAGAGCAGTCAGTTCTCTGTGAGTTCAAGGCCAGCCTAGCCTACAAATGGAGTTTCAGCCAGTAGCCAGAACTACACAGGGAGACCATGTCTAAAGGGGGAAATGAAAAAGAAAAGAAAGAGAAAAAAGAAGAAAAGTAGCATACATTTTAAACACAAAATTTAAGGAACCCTATTAACATTAAATAGCTCAGAAAGGGTTTGCCTGATTTTCAGGAAAGACATTCCCTGGAGAGATCAGCATGAAAGTGGAGACGTCATTTAACTTTGAAGATGAACACTCTGAGGCCTATCAAAACTTTTACTATGTCGTTGTCAACTTTGTAAGTGTTTCCCACTTTCCCAAACACGAAGTATCTTCCTTTTCACTGGAGGCGGGAGGGGGAGGGGCAGGGAGGTCAGTCTTCTGTGTCTGTTTTGACAAAGTGAAGTGTACCCTGTCTGGTGGGCATGTAGATCCATCCCTTGGGATTCTTGAGCCACTGAACAGTTGTGCACCTGAGAGAGCACCCGTACAGCCCTACCAGGCCTCCAGAGAGCAGCGTTGGCATGCTGCGGGCCTGCCTGTTATAGAAGCTATTGGTGGGTTTTGAGTAGACAAGAGCTCTCTCTAATGGTGTCTTAAATTATTTCAGAGCATTCTGGGGCTATGGCTTAGTGGTAGAGTACTTTTCTAGCATGAGAAAGTCCTAGGGTTTTACCCCAGAGCATAACAACTTAATAATTCATTATTTTGGACTGGGGGATGTAGCTCAGTGGTAAAAACAAAAACATATTCCTTTTTTAATATGTTCAGATTTGCATAAATTTCCATACCAATCTGGCTTATTTTTACCTGTAATAGAGGAACTATATCTGATACTTTGCCTCCCCTCCCCAGTTTCAAAAATGTGACGAAAATGTCACTTCATTTCTATTTTGGGAGCGAGTGTGTTGGCAGGGAAGGAATGGACTGTGGAAAGCCATTCTGGAGCCACAGTTGCTGGGTTTGGGAAACTTTCCACAGCATCCAGTCAGCCTGTGTTTAGACACCTGAGCTCAGCCAGGGCTGGGTATTCCTGGGGAGCCAAGGAGATAGTGAAACATTCTTATGACTTCAAAGAGTGTTTTGTTTATATAGTTTTAGAGGGTTTTTGTGTTATTGCTCTTTTAAAAATGTTTTGCTATTTGTGTATGTGTGTGCATGAGTGTGGGTATGTCGCATGCGGGAGTTGGCTCTCCCCCCACCTTGCTGAGGCATGGCCTCTTGTTTCTGCCACACTGCGTTTTCCAGGCTAGCTGGCCCTCCAGCTTCTGGAGGTCCTCCTTTCTCTGCCTCCCATCTGACCATAATAATGCTGGGATTCACTGGTGGTGGCTCATACCTCCAGGCCCAGCACTAGGGAAGCAGAGGCTGCCTAATCTCTGTGAGCTCAAGGCCAGCCTGGTCTACCTGACAAGTCCCAGGACAGGATAGGATATCCAGGACTATTACACAGAGAAACCCTGACTCTAAAAACAAAGAAAAGAATGTTGGGATTACAGATGTGTACCATTGTACCCATCTACTCATCTTTTATTTTTTAAGATTAATTTATTCATGTATTTGAGTACTCCTCTTCATGAACATCAGAACATCAGAAGAGGGCATCAGATCCCATTACAGACGGTTGCAAGCTCCCTTGTGGTTGCTAGGAATTGAACTCAGGACCTCTGCAAGAGCAGACAGTGCTCTTAACCATTGAGCCACCTCTCAAGCTCCAGTACCCAATGTGGGTCCTAGGGATTTAACTCAGATTTGGGGTCACTTTGACCTGCTGCGTCCTGCTCAGGGCCCTTTTCAGTGTTTTGGGAAAAGGTCTCACACTGTATTCCAGACTGGCCTGGAACTCACTATATAACTGGGGATGAACTCAAATGATGGTAATCCCCCTGTCTCAGCCTTTTGAATGCTGGGATTATAGGCATGAAGTACCATGCCTGGTTTCAAAGAGATTTTAATCCAAAAGGGGTATTTCAGACCCCCTTGACAGTCTCTGGAGCATAATTAGGAAAGCAGAGGCCATCCCCTTCTCAACAGACCTTATGTGTCAGTCCCAGCTCAAGCCATGAGACATCTCCCAGGGTCTGTTTACTATGCAGCTAGGTGTCTTTACATAGAGATTTCCAGATCCTCTGCTGAGCATTGTGCCTAGGATACTAAGTTCAATGTTCCTATTTCTGTAAATAAATTGGGGGTTGGGGCATAGACCTGTGATCCAACTACTTGGGAGGCTGGGCAAGAGGACCACAAGTTCAAGGTTTGCCTGGACTGAAGAGTGAGTTCAAGGCCAACCTGATCAACCTGATATATTTTAGAAAGAATTGGATTGAGCATATGGCACAGTGGTATAACACTTGCCTAGCATGTACAGGGCCCTGGGTTCAATTCCTAGAACCACAAAATAAACGGATACATATATTATATAAATGTAAAACGAAAGGCTCAGCAGTAGAGTAGTTGCCTAATATGTACATAGCTTAGCCGGTAGAACACTTGCTCCTAGGTCTCATCTGCAGCAGTGTACCATCTGGGTGTGGTGGTACAAACCTGTAATCCCAGCATTTCAGAGGTGGAGGCAGGAGGATCAGGAGTTTAAGGTCATCCTTGCCTACATAGTAAGTTTGAGGACAACCTGGGCTACATGAAACCCTGTCTCAGGAAGGAAGAAAGGAAGGGAGGGAGGGAGGGAGGGAGGGAGGGAGGGGAGGAGGGAGGAAGGGAAACGGAAAGGGAAGGAGGGGAAGGGAGGGGAGGGAGGGAAGGGGGAAGGGAGGGGAGGGAGGGAGGGAGGGAGGGAAACGGAAAGGGAAGGAGGGGAAGGGAGGGGAGGGAGGGGAGGGAGGAAGGGGGAAGGGAGGGAAAGGGAAGGGAGGGAATAGAGAAGGAAAGCAATGTTTAAACCTAGAATATAATTTTTAAAATTTCACTTTGTTATTGCATCTATTCTCCACAGTTTGCAGGTGTATTTAATAAGACAGATTTTGGTTTCGGACAAACTATAATTCTTAAAGTGAGGTAAGTGTGCTCTGAACCAGTGAGCTACTTTGAAGGCAGCATATCTTTGTTTCACTTCTGCTCTTCTCTTGAGCTCCCATGTCATGAGCCATCCTGTGTTAAGTCACAGGTTGGGGAGATGACTCAGTTGGTAAAGAGCTTGCCCACAAGCACAAGTAGTGAAGTTTGGATCCCCAGTAGCCATGTAAAAAGCCTCCCCTCACTGGTCCATGTTTGTGAGGCTCCCCAGTGCTTGAGAAGTGGAGGCAGGTGGATCCCTGGGGCTCATTGGCCATCCAGCCTAGCTAAATTGGTGAGTTCCAGATTCAGTGAGACTGTGTCCTAAGATGGACTGTCCCTACCCCTTCACTGGCAGGCCTGCAAGTCTATATAGAGTCATGGTGTTGCAGGACGAGTTTGCTAAAGTCACAAAGACAAAGGGTACTTTAGGAAACAAGAGAATTTAGGAAAGGGTAAAGCTGGCTGCTGTGCTCAGAAATGATTGGTTTTCCGGGACAAAAACAAGTACAACAGCTCATATAGCTGACAGGGATAGCATCTTTCAGATTGCTTATGATGGATGGAAAGGGTATAACAGCCTGTGCTCATGAGCTACCAAGATACTGTGTGAAAACTATAGGCTTGTCTGTTGCTGGCCCATGGGCTTCTCAGCAGGTTTGGCATGACCAAGGTCTACAAAGGAGAGTCGGGGTAGTTGGAAGGGAATGCATTGTGGAAAGCATTGATGGTCAGCTAAGGCTTTCACTGGCTGTTGGGTGCTTGTTGCCAAAATGGCAACTGATAATAAAGTTCTGGGGCCCAGAAAGGAGCTGTGGATGAGGCTTGTCCATCCATGGCAGTTCCAGATGAGTCCCTGGTCATGATCCTGCAACAGGATGTTGCAGATTATATGAGGGAAGAAGATGAAAACATAAGAAACAGTTGTTGGGCCAGCAAGATGGCTCAGTGGGAGAAGGCACTTGATGACCTTGATGACCTGGGTTGGGTCCCCAGAATTCTAGAAAGTTGTGCTCTGACCTCCATATGTGTTCTGTAACACTCATGGACAGACAGACAGACAGACAGACACACACACACACACACACACACACACACACACACACACACACACACACCATAATTTTTAAAAAATTAAAGTTCTCTCAGTATGTAAAAAACAATGTAACTCCAGACATGAAGGAGGATGTGAATAAGGGAACTCATGATGCTGCTATGTAAGAGAATCCAGTCCATGAGAAAAGGCCCAAGACAGAAGTTAAAAGGAAGTGAGGGGCTCAGTGGTTAAAAGCATTGACTGTTCCTTCTAAGGACCCAGGTTTGGTTCCCAGCACCCACATAGTGGCTCACTCCAGTTCCAGGGTATCTAACACCATCTTCTGGCCTCTGTGAGTACCAGCCATGCATGCAGTATATAGATATACATCCAGGAAAAACACCCATACACAAAAATAAAATAAAATAAAACTTATTGTAAAGAAAATGTAGTGACCCCTCCCCTCCAAAAAAGAAACGTAATGACCAACAAGGCAAGCTTTCTCAGATCTTGGGAACAGCCTGCTAAGAGCTAAAGTAGTTTTCTATTATGAGTTTTTTTTTCCCTCATAAACACAATGTACTTATTGACCAAGCAACTAAAGTAATGATATTCAGTTGGAGAGCAACTGACACTTGATGTCAGTCTCTGGCTTCCATATGCACGCACACACACACACGCACACACACGCACACACACACACACACACACACACAAGAAGATATGGCTTGCCAGACCACTACTGAGGGAATTGTATGCCTCAGGGATGCCTCTAATACCATACTGACTCAGGCCAGAGTGAGCAGATGTGGTCTGGAAAAGGAAAGCTGTTAATGGTTGCCCAGCATTTTGCTCACATGGACCAGGCCACCATACCATCATATGTGGTGATATATTGTTTGTACAAATAGAGCCTATATGAAGGTCAGAGAATGAAGCTTACCACTAGCTAACCTCAAAGGTCTAGAGGTCTGTACAGACAGACAGGAAGGAGATGGCCAGGCAGAGAGAGGAAGGCAGAAACAGGAACTTGCTCTCTTGTCTGCTTAGATGCTGAAGAGGTAAGGTGTGGGTGTGGCTTGCTCCTTCTTGCCAATCTCTCAGCACTTTTCTCAAAAAAAAAAAAAAAAAAAAAAGAGCCTGGCTATCTCATTGGGTAGAGTGTGAGACTCTTAATCTCAGGGTCATGGGTTCATGCCCCACATTGGGCGCCATATGTTGATAGAAGTTTCTGTCCCACCAGATCCCACTGCTGTCTAGTCCCAAATAAACACACAGAGGCTTATGTTACTTATAAACTGCTTGGCCAATGGCTCAGGCTTCTTAATGGCTAGCTCTCTCTTAACTATTAACCTATTTCTATTAATCTGTATATCTCCACATGGTCTTGGCTTAACAGAGGATGCCCAGGTATCCTACCTTCCTGGTAGCTACATGGTGTCTCCTTTTCTCTGCCTCCTACCTTTCTCTATCCCTGTTTGGATTTTCCACCTGGCTAAATCCTGCCTGTCCATTGGCCAAAACAGCTTTATTCATCAACCAATAAGAGAAGCATATATATTCACAACATACAAAAGGACATCCCCCATCAATCATATGAACTAATTTGGTTGGATCCTTTGGTTGCAGATCATACCTCATCAATCCCTGGCTTTAGAACTCCAAATGCCTTTAGTAGACCATTGTTCTCATTGTGGTTTCTCTGAATACATGTCAAATAGAAGCCACCAGGCTGAAAATTTGACACTGTATTGCCTGAACCTTCATGTGTGATCTATAGTTGTGGAGCTAGGACAAGAAGTCAAGAGATTTGAACATCAGGGAAGTTTACATACTATGTGTTAACTCTTCAGTTTGATTCATTACGGACATCTTTATTTCATTTTTAGTACCTCCTCTTCTCTGTCAGCGAGATCTATAGTGCGTGCTGCTGATAAGACTGTCTACGTATCAGTAGTAAATATGTTTGATGAAAGCACAGCTCAAAATGAAAATACTATATCTGCTGCAATTAAAGGGAACATTGAAGGCAGTAAGGTTGTGGCCTACGCTGGTAAGTGTTAATGATTTTACTTGACATTTGCCTAAAGATCTAACTTTTTGTTAAGCTTTCCATTATATGTGAGAAGGGGACAAGTCAAGAGATGGATTGCTGTCTCCAAATCCCCACCCCTCACTTTTCGAGACAGGGTTTCTGTGTGTAACAGTCCTGGATGTCCTGGAACTCACTCTATAGACCAGGTTGGCCTCGAACTTAGAGAGATCCTCCTGCCTCTTCCTCCTGAGTGCTGGGATTAAAGGTGTGCCCCACCACCAACCAGGAAATCCAAATTTCCTTTTAAAAATATTTTATTTATTTATTTATTTATAATTATATATGTAATGTGCACATGAGTGCAAGTGCCCAAAGAGGCCAGAGGTGTTTGATCCTTTGGAGCTGGAGTAACAACTGCCTGGTGTGGGTGCTGGGAACTGAAGTCCAGTCTTTTGGAAGACCATCATGTGCCCTTAACTGCTGAGCCATCCCTCCAGCCCCATATTTTTGCTTTTTACCAATTAGAACCTTTCTGATCTAGTTTGCAAAGCTAATTTCTGTGTGTGTGTGTGTGTGTGTGTGTGTGTGTGTGTGAGAGAGAGAGAGAGAGAGAGAGAGAGAGAGAGAGAGAGAGTTCTGGAAGTCAACCCAGGTGTTGTCCCTCAGGAGCCACCCTCCGTGAGTTCAGGCTATCCCCCTGCTGGGGATTAAACCTAGGACCTCATGGATGCTAGTCATGTGTTCCACCAGAAGTCTACCTCTTTTAAGATAGGGTCTCACTTATCTTTGAACTCACTGATTAGGTTAGGCTGGCTGGTCAGTGAGCCCCCAAAGACCCTCTATTTCCACTTCTCCAGAGATAGAATTACAAGTAGGCACCACCATGCCTAGCTTTTTCTATTTTATAAGTGGACATCATCATGCCTGGATTTTTTTTTTTTTTATAAGTGGGCCCCACTGCTGGAGTCCAGCTCCAGATGAGGACAGGGTCTGAGGATGGGTATATGCAAGAGTGGTAACAGGAGGAATCAGACATGGGACATTTCTTAGTTTCATTTTAGGAGAGGGCAGAGAAGAAGCACATTGGCTGTAGGGATACAGGTCCCAGCAGAGGATGTAAGGGGTAGGTGAAGAAAGGAAATGAGCCAAGCCATGGTGGTCAGGAGAATCTTGCTGCCTAACTAACAGCCAGAGTACTTCTTTATTTATACAAAATTTAGTAAGTGGGGATACATTCATGTTGTTCCAAAAACATAGATACCATTTTTGTTTTTGAACATGTCTTTAGCATTTTCTCTTATTCATCTTTTAGTCATCATTAATAAACTATGACAAAACAGAGTTATCATATCCAATCATTTTTCCCTCAAGTTTTGGCATCCTTGATAGTTACTGTTCATAACCATTTTTACTCATCAACCCCATAACCCAATTTTTTAAAAAGTTTTATTTATTAATTATACATCAGTGTTCTGCCTGCATGTACACCTGCAGGCCTGAAGAGGGCACCAGATCTCATTACAGATGGTTGTGAGCCACCATGTAGTTGCTGGGAATTGAACTCAGGACTTTTGGAAGAACAGCTAGTGCTCTTAACCTCTAAACCACCTCTCCAACACACATAACCCAATTTTTAAGAATCTGGAGGCATATAACATCCTGTTCTCAGGCTGGTAGCTGCTGTGGGTACAAGGACCCTAGACCAAAACAAACTTCAAGCCATCCTGGGAATACTGCCATTTCCCAAGCAGTGTATTATTAACTCTTAATGGTCAGAGTGCCCAAAAAATATCCAAAGCAGCTGTAGTTATTATTCAAATTCTGGCACAATACAATGTTTATATTTTATATCTTTATAAAATACTTTTACCATTTTCCTACATCATCCTTTGCCCATCAGTAGAAGTCTCTGTGTAGGACAGAAGTAACCAGCTAGTCTAATTTTGTTGTTGTATATACCACGTAATCACCTGAGCATATAGTAGAAAGAGGCTTGCAATCTGAACTGTAGCCAACTCCCCATATTGTTGACTCATTTGAGTTTACTTTGTTTTGAATATCTTGTCCCTTTGTAAGCACAGCGACAGATGTTTCAAGAGTGTCTCAGCCTCATAAAGAGATCTCTGGCTTCTTTATGTGTGTTATAACCTCTAAGGCATAAGGAAGACCTTCAAGTCGATAAGGATGTCTCCCTAGAAGAGGGAGGGGTGGTGTGCTCAGGACTTTCTGGGGAATCTGAGAAGCAATACTCCTGGAAGAAGGCATAAATGATTCATAAGAAATTTTCCATTAATCCAATATTCTTAAATTGTACAAATATAGCTGGGTGATGGTGTGGCACACCTTTAATCCCAGCACCTGTGAGGCAGAGGCAGGCAGATCTCAGTGAACTGGGAGACCAGCCTGAACTACAGAGCAAGTTCTAGCATGGGCTCCAAAGCTATAGAGAAACCCTGTCTCAAAAAAAAAAAAAAAAAAAAAAAAAAAATTGTACAAATACTAAAAGTCTCCCAAGTATGCAGTAGATACAGATGAAAACCAAAAGTGTCCCAGTGGCCATCATACTGCTCAACTTTGCGGGATTTGTCAAACAGCTGTGCCATACCACCATGCCTGGCTTTTTTATGTGGGTGCTCAGGACAGAACTCGGGTCCTCATACTTGCACAGCAAGCACTTTATTGACTGAGCCATCTCCCCAACCCCTAATTCTGTTTCTCACAACATAAATAAACATGTTCTCTTAGAGTTTCCCAACATTTTTCCTCTTTTGTTGGGGCTTTACAAAGACTCTTGTCAACATGACAAAGCTCTCCTAAGGGGCCACCACGGCTACCCACCAATCTGTTTCTACCTACCTTCCACAGCTATCCACCAATCTGTTTCTTCTTGGGATCAGAATTTTGTCTAGAGTCACAGTTCATATTGCCATAACCTAGATAGGGCTTAGCACACATATGATGAAGTTGAGAGTCCCCCTCAGCATGGGCACTGAGCACAGGTGATCGGTGTAATGTGAGGTTTCTGGCCCAGCTGGCCCAGCAGGTCCCGTCACCCTTCTCTGCCCCAAAGAAACACACAGATGCTATATTAATTACAAAACTGTTGGCCAGTGACTAGTGTTTCTTATTGGCTAGCTCTGTCTTAATATTAACTCATTTATATCAATCTAAGTAATTCCATGTGGTCTTGCCTTACTGGGAATGCTGGACCTGCAACTCCTTTGCCTGCAACATCTCCATAGAGAAGAGAACAATTTCCTGTTTGTCCCTGCTTATATTCTGATTCTGCCAGCTACACCACTTCCTGGAATCACATGACAACTCCTCTCTGCCTACACTTTCCAGAATTCTCCTTGTCTCCTAGTCCTACCTATCATCCTGCCTGGCCAATCAGTGTTTTATTCATCAACCAATAAGACAAACATATGTACAGAAGAATATTCCCCATCAGATCAGCAGCTAACAACAACTAATGCATTTCTCAGGATAATCTTGGGGATTACCCCCAACTGCAGGTTTCTTGTTTTTATCATCTCTGAACATCTCCCTCCACCCTGAAACCAGTCATGTGCTCTTAAATAGATTACTAAGAACCACAAACTGATGTCTAGAGATGGACATCTGCTGCAGACGGAAGCCAGTGCCTCAGTTTCCTGCTCTTCAGGTCACAAAATATATTATCTTCTGGGCCTTCTTTTTCTCTGGGTTTTGGATTGGAGGTTGTACTGACTAGGTTTATGCCAACATGACACAAGCTGAAGTCATCAGAGAGGAGGGACTCAGTTGAGAAGACACCTCCATTAGATCTGGCTATAGGCAGGCCTAGAGGACATTTTCTTAATCAGTGATTGATGGGGGAGGGCCCAGCCTGTTGTGGGTGCTGCCACCCCTGGGCTGGTGGTGCTGGATTCTATAAGAAAGCAGGCTGCACAGCCATGCAGAGTAAGCCAGTAAGCAGCTCTCCTCCAGGGCCTCTGCATCAGCTCCTGCCTCCAGGCTCCTGCCCTGCTTGAGTTCCTGTCCTGACTTCCTTTGGTGGTGAGCACTGATGTGGAAGTATAAGCTGAATAAACCCTTCTCTCCCTTCTTGCCCTGTGGTCGTGGTGTTTCATCGGGCAATGGTCTCCTGAACTAGGACAGACATGTTCTCAAGCTGCAGGGGTTTGTTGCACCTCGGACGCTTTATTAGAGAGGAACGCCACTTCTCTAGCTCCTTCCGTCCTCTGCCCCACTCCACTCTCTCACCCATCCTCTCACCCAGTGCTTGCAATCCAGTTAGATAGCATTCTTGGAAGGCTGTTCTCTCGTGGCATGTTCCTGCTTAGAGCCTTCCAGAGGATTCTCTGGCTTAGGGAATAAGAGTCAGGGGCTGGAGACATGGCCAGCGGTTATTAACACTGTTTAATTGTGAAAACTGAACTGGAGATTGTATCCCAGCAACCTTGTCAGGGGCCTAACAAATACCTTAAACTCCAGCTCCAGAGAATCTAACACCCTCATCTGTCCTCGGTAGGAACCTGCACATATGGCAACTCACGCGCGCGCGCGCACACACACACGCGCACACACACACACACACACACACACACACACACACACACACACACATTTAAAAAATTTTAAACGTAATGTCAAAAGCTGGGCATAATGAAATATGCCTTTAATCCTAGCACTCGGGAGGCAGAGGCAGGCAGGCAGATCTCTGCTAGTTCCAGGACAGCCAGAGCTACACAGAGAAACCCTATCTCAAAAAACTAAAACCAAATCAAACAAACAAAAACCTTAAAAAAAGAAAGAAAGAAAGAAAGAAAAGAAAGAAAAAAGTAGTGTCCTTAGGCTAACATTTAACTGTATCTACAGAAGAACAAAAGAATGCAGGCTTATTGAGGCTCCTATGTGAGCACTGTCATTTACATTAGCTCACTCTATTCTCATGGCAACCATGCGAACAAGAATTAGCACCATCGCATAGGAGGAAGCTTGAACCCATCAAAAATCAAATGATATTGGATGGAGAGTAGAGTGTGAGAGGGAGGGAGGCAAATGATTTCATGAATCATATGGCCTTGCTCAGTATGTGTGTGTGTGTGTGTGTGTGTGTGTGTGTGTGTTTAACTGTTTATGTCTCTCACAGAACAAGATACATGTGACTTTTACAACTGTGTAAAGAATGCAGACAACTGCCAGGACAATCTCCAATGCCAGTGCAAACCTGGGCTGAAAAGGCCAAACAAACTAACTCCTTATTGTTTGGCTGGTAAGTGTGCCAGCTGCTCCCAAACAAGTTCACAACTCTCACTTTCTCTCCTCTAGTATTTTCTTTCTTTTGGGGGATGAGGGTGTTTCAAAACAAGGTCCTCTGTGTTGCCCTGGCTGTCCTGGAACTTACTCTGTAGACCAGGCTGGTCTTTACTCACAGAGATCTGCCTGTCCCTGCCTCCCAAGTGCTGGGATTAAAGGCATGGGCCACCACCGCCTGACTTCTTGTATTTCCAAAATACTTACATGACTGATTATTGAGTTCCCACGATCTGGGAGCTGCCTAGGACAGCTTCACAAGAGACACATCTTTATTTTACTTAGAAAGACCAATGTACAAAATTGTATGCTGCCCCATGTCATCTCTGGACTGGTGAGATGATGCAACCAGCAAATGCACTTGCTGAGCAAGCTAGAGTTTATTCCCCAAACCAGGTAAAGATGGAGGGAGAGAACTGACTCTGTGACTTCACACAATGTGCCGTGGAATATGTCCTCCCTCTCTCTCTCTCTCTCTGTCTCTCTCTCACACACTCTTTTGTCTCTCTCTCTCTCACACACACACTTTTTTTAAAAAGGTATTGTTTCTGATAATGACATTGAAATCAATTTATTTTGTAACTGTAGAGTTTCCTGAGTCCTGCAATGCAGAGGAAGGGAAGCAAGGCTTAAAGAACAATAACGCAGCACCAGAGTGTGTGTGCATGCCAGGCTACCAGAAAGCTGCTGATGGGACGTGCAAAGAGTAAGAAATCGCTCCATCTTTATCTTTTCACAGGATAGCCATGCTAGAGCTTGAAGCACATGTGAAGGTTTAGTATCGGAAAGCTGGCAAGCTGGCATGAGTTGGCGGGTTTAGCACGTCACTGTGTCATCATCATCCAAGAGTTTGGAGCATCCTGTATCTCTAGGAACCACAGTGGGTAGGGCCTATCATACAACAGTTAGAAATGTGTCAGAAACAAAACTAAATATGAGTAATATGCCCTTGTTCACCGGTTGCCCCTTGAGAGAGTCCACGCTACTCCATCCATGCCTCTTGGGTTCAGCTTCACCTGAATTGCCAGGCCTTCCTGGAGTTCAGAAGAGGCTATGTTCAGTCTGTGGCAAAGGAGGCCACATTGGATTGAGTACATGTCACCATAGCAGAACCACATGGAATACTCTCTTGGAAACACGATATCATAAAGAAGATAACAGAAAGAGCAAGCAAGGCAGGACAGAATGAAAGTCAGATGGGAGGGGAGAATGGAAATCGGTGGGAACTCCTGCACCCTCCCCACAAGTTTTTTAATGTGACTTCCTATTGTGACTGTGTTCCAGGTGTCCATTCGGCTATAGTGGCAGGGATTGCAAAGACCGTGAGTATAGACACCCTAAGTTACTAAACATCCGAGAAACACATGTGGACTACAGCTCATTCCACTGCAGTCTTCCTTCATTCACTGAGAGAAACTAGGCTTGGAGCTTGTCTGCTGGGTCCCAAATCCCACACTTACCCTTAGGTGATGGGCAGCAACAGTTCTGCTGTTAGGAATAACAGAACTCAGACCTGGGGGTGAGCTGGTGCCTCTGAACCCACTCCAGACCAGAGGAGACATTCACAACCATTATATTTAGTTCCTTGTTGTTGTTGCTGTTGTTTTCAAGACAGAGTTTCTCTGTGTTACAACCCTAGCCATCCTAGAACTTGCTCTGTAGACCAGGCTGGCCTTGAACTCACAGAGATCCGTCTGCCTCTGCCTCCAGAGTGCTGTGATTAAAGGCGTGCACTACCACAGCCAGCCATTAATGAGTTTTCCAATGTTTTATGGGTTAAGTGTTTGGAACTGGTGTGTATGTTATGTTCACAGACTGTTCTTATGGTCATATTCCAAGAGTCCATAGCAGCCAGGCATAGTATTGAATGTCGGTAATCTCAGTACAAGGGATGCTGAGGCAGGAGGACCATTGTGAGTTTAAGTCCATCCTGGGCTATATAACAAGAGGTCTATAGCCCTGTCTGAGGTGGAAGAGTGTAGGTATTAACAGACTCCCCCTTGTAAACTGTATAATGCCCATCCAGACCCCTGGCTTATGAAAAGGGAGAGCTATATGAAGGGCAGGCAGTGGCAGGAGAGATGGAGAGGAGGTGTAGACCTTGGTGACACCTTCCACCCAACATGGCCCAGGAAGACCTTGCCGCCATCAGCCTCTTCCTTCTGTATTTGTGGTTTCGTAACTGGAAAGCCTGCATGTGATGACTGTGCACTGCAGACAACCTGATGTTAGGACGTGGTTAGGGCATGAGGACACGGAGGGGGAGGGGGTGGCAACAGATGAGCACCTGCCCTGTGTGCCTCTCTGCAGGGCTGGGAGACAGGAACTGCTGGAGCTCACACTGTGCAGTAGACAGCAGGACCCAATTGGCAGGGGGCTATTTGTTCCAGTTCTATTTCTGTTGCTGAGTCAAATACCCTGGCCAGAAGCTTTGTTTGGTTCATAATTCCAGGTTACAATCTGTTATCATGAGGAAATCGAGGCAGGAACTCAAAGCTTTGCATCCACAGTCAAGAGCAAATAGTGAATGAACACATGGATCTTTGCTGCTGCTCTCTTGCAGCTTTCTTACTGCTCAGGACCCCCTGTCTAGGAAATGGTTCTTCCCACAGCGGACTAGGTCTTCCTATAGCCATTAACGGTCAAGACAACCTCAGCCCCAAACACACCACATAGGCTAATCCAGTTTAGACAATGCCTCATTAAGACCCCCTTCCCAGGCGAGGTTGTGTCAGGTTGGCAGTTAAAACTAACCAGGACACTGCTCTTGTCTTTTCCCTTTCAGAGTTCCAGCTGATCCTCACCATTGTGGGTACCGTTGCCGGAGCTCTCATTCTCATCTTGCTGATTGCTCTTATCGTCTCAGTGAGGTATGGGGTGGAGAGATACTGCTATTTAAACTGTTTTCCAAACATTCTCATGGGTGAGGAGGAGGAGAAAGCAAGGGAGGCCTCTCCCCTACAATTGGATTTTCTGTTTTAATTATTTTCTTTCTTTTTAAAGTTTTATGTTTATTATTTTTATGTAAGTATGTATAAGTACTTTATGTATACATTTATTTATGTATGTTTGTATAAGTGCATGTGAGTACAGGGGCTCAGGGAATTCAGAAGGGAATATCATACCCCCTAGAGCTGGAGTTATAGATAGTTGTGAGTCACCCAGCCTGAATGCTGGGACCTGCACTTGGGTCCTCTCCAAGAGCAGTATGTGTTCTTAACCATTGAATATCATTCTAGCCCTTACCCAATTTTACCTTTTTAAGTGATAGTATATACATATCCTTTATGATTTAATTTTTTGTTCAGTTTTATTTTTGCTTCATACTAATCAGACCCAACAATCAGTTTTCTATGGCATTAATAACTTCACTGGGGCCAGGTGAGTCCCTTTAATCCCAGTACTCAGGAGGCAGAGGCAGGTGGATCTCTGTGAGTTTGAGACCAGCTAGGGCTATGTGGAGAGGCCCTGTCTCAAACAACAGAAAAAACAACTTTCCATTAGCACCATTTAACTCATTTATGCATGGCTATACACACTTATACTCCGTACTTGGAAAGTGAAGTCAGAGTTTAGGGATTAAGGAATTAAGAGGATTAAGAGTTTAGGGCCAACCTCAACTACATAGCAAGTTTGAGGCCAGTCTTGACTGCATGAGATCCTACCTCACCAAGACAAAATCCAGGACTGGGGCTGGGGCTCAGTTGGTAGAATGCCGGCATAGCCTGCAGAAAGACCAGATGTGGTGATGCACAAACCAGATGTGGTGATGTCTCCTTCTCATCCCAGCTCAAGTGACAGAGGCAGAGCGCTCAGAAGTCCCAGGTCACCCTTGGTTACACAAAGAGCTTCAGACCAGCCTGGGCTCTACGACACAGTCTCAAAACACACATACTTAATTCCACTGATGCTGTCAAATACAACTTCCCCCCGAACCACTCCCCTGCCTAGAGCTCTGCTGAATGGCACAAAGCAACCTCAACATGGTCCCAAAGCAACCTCTGTAGAAAGCTTGGGTCTTAAGAAAGTAAGGTTATCTCTGTGGCTCTTTCTCAGCAATATTTAGCAATGCTGCAGAAGAAGGATGCTAAGACCCTCTTCACCTCTACATGTGTTCAGTGGGGCCCACATTGTGAAAAGCAGCTACTATTCCCCATTACATGTAGCTCAGACCTTACATTCTGGTAACATGTCCTGGCCATTTCCTGCTATAACTGTAGAGGGTTCGTTTTGTTTTGTTTTGTTTTTCAAGACACGGATTCTCTGTGTAGCCCTGGCTGTCCTGGAATTCACTGATAGACCAGGTTGGCATCAAACTCACCTCTGCTTCCCTAGCACTGGAATTTAAGACATGCACCACCACTGCCTGAGATATTTGGTTCTTAGTCTATTGTTGATGTTTTGTTTTTTTGAGTTTTTTTTTTTTTTTTCATTTTGATGTTAACCCTTCCCAGAGTAAAATTAGTATCAGCCACATGGGCATTCCCTACAATACCTAGTTTCTCACTTCTAGGAAAGGGGGCAGAACATTCCTGGTTTTGGAGCAAGTCTACATCCTCTTTTCTTAAGGTAGCTGGTTGACTCTTCTGGCCCTTCAGGGACCAGAGTTAACTATAGAATTGTGCAGCCTTGTGACAGATTTGTATCAAGGCTTCTCCACCCTGCTGAAGAGCCCAACCACATGAAACATGAAATCTTTGCCTCCCTGCGCAGTCCCTAGGGAAGGGGTGGAGCCTTTGCTACTCCAGAGGAGAGACCAGTGTAAACTAGGTAGCTATCCAAGGCACTGGGTGAATGACATTCCCGTTGTGACTAAAGCTGGGAGTGACCTGCATCATAGATACAGCTGTCCCTGCTCTCTCGGTCTGGGAAGTGGGACTGTGGCCCATGGGCAGGAAAACAAGCAAGTGTATAATCTGAGTGGGGTGGGATGATGCCTCTGTGAGTACAAATGCTTACACTTGACTTAGAATTCCCACACTAGAGGCCCTTGAAGTGCCCCAACCAGCCCTATCACCCTGCCAAACCCTATTTCTTTTTCTCCATATTGTGTGGTTTGTGTCTATTTGTGTAAACACATATTTACTAGTGTGGGTACTATGCATGCAAGTGATTCTGTAGGCCCAGGGTCGCTGTCAGGAAACTTCCTCTGCCATGGGCTCCTCTGCTAGCTGAGGCAGGGTCTCTCAGTTATATCAGAGCTCACAAGATGGGTACTGAGGCTATCTAGCTTACTCCACAGATCTCTATCCTGGGTACCCTCTTTCCAAGTGCTAGAATGACAGGCAGGCCTCCATGCCCACCTGACGTTTTCATGGGCTCTAGGGATCCCAACTCAGGTCCTCACATTTCTGTGGCAAGTACTTTGACAGCAGAGGCATCTCCTTGGGCTCCTTTTTCCTTTCCTAAGACCTTGGAATGCTGACCTCATCTCACTCACTGCATGTTTCTGTAGACATTTATTCTGCTGGTGTCATAAGGCATGGTTTCTCTTTCACTTCTATTAATCAAATGAAACACACATGTAATGCTAATGTGGGCCTGGGGATGATGGCACACCCTTCCATCCCAACACTTGGAAGGTACAGGCAGGCAGATCTCTGAATTCAAGGTCAGTTTGATCTACATAGTGAGTTTCAGGACACTCAGGGACACAGAGAAAAAAAACTCCTTCAAGAAATGTTGTTACCATCGTTAGGTCCTAACTCATTTTACTGATTACAGCTCAAAGAGGAAAAAGAAGAATGTGGAGGAGCAAAAGTTGATTGATGAAGAATTTAGGAATATACGAATGCAGCAAACCGGCTTCAGCAACTCCGGCTTCAGCAACTCCAGCTTCAGCAACTTTGGAGGAGACAATAGCATCTTCCCCAAAGTCAGGACAGGGGCTGCCAATTACACCCAAAATCCCTATGCAAACCAGCGAAGCATGTCTCGCCCTGACTACTAGGTGAGTGCAACCTCTGACTTTACAGAATGGAATGCCCTGCAAGGGAAAGCCAAAGCAGGCCTGGAGAGGTGGCTGTCACAGGACCTGGGCTCAGTCCCCAGCACCCACATGCTCGTGCACGCCATCTCCAACTCTAGTTCCAGAGGGTTCAATGACCTCTTCAACCTCTACAGGTTCCAGGCAAGCACATGGTACACATACATAAATGCAAGCAAAACATTCATGCACATCAAAAAATGAACAAATCTTTTTTTTTAAAAAAAATAATATTAACAAACAAAGGAAGCTGAAGCAAAGAGGTCCCAGCCATTGCCACAGCCTCACTTGATCCCTAGCACTCATGGCCGTCTGTCCACATGACATCAGATCGATCTCTGAGTTTCTCTCTTCTAAAGCAGCACAGTCCAGTTTTGCAGTCCTGAGTGTCTCTAACTTACCCACTTTCCACTGGTGAGCTGGCTTAGCTGTTACAGGCACTTGCCTCTGAGTCCTGTGACCTGAGCTCTGTCTCAGGACCCACATATGCGTTATCCCCTTACATATATGTAATATTATATATGTGTGTGTGTGTATGTGATATATTTATATGTAATATAATGTGTATCCCTCTTACATATGTGTGTGTGTGTGTGTGTGTGTACATTTATGTGTAATTTTTTTTTTTTTTTTTTTTTTTTGGCTTTTCGAGACAGGATTTCTCTGTGGTTTTGGAAGCTAGTCTTGTAGTCTTGTGGGCCTGGAACTAGTCTTGTAGATCAGGCTGGCCTCAAACTCACAGAGATCCCCCTGCCTCTGCTGGGATTAGAGTATGCCACCACTGCTCGGTTTATATGTAATCTTATATTACATATAAATGTAATCAATAGACAAATAAGTAAATTATCCACCTCTAGCCAGGGCTACTCAGGAGGCTGATATAAACAGATAGCAAGTTCAGGACCTGCCTGAGCTACAGAAGGAGTTCACAGCCAAATGTGGTGGCTTTAATCCCAGCACTCGGGAGGCAGAGGCAGGTGGATGGATCTCTGTGAGCTCAAGGCCAGCCTGTGAGTTCCAGGACAGCCAGGACTGCTGTACAGAGAAACCTTGTCTCGGAACCTCTCCCCTCAAGAAGAACAAAATACATTTTGAAATGCACTTCTTGCATTACTAAATTAGTAATTAAAAAAGAGACTCAAGCCAGGCGTTGGTGGTACACAAGCCTTTAATCCCAGCACTCAGGAGGCAGAGGCAGGCAGATCTCTATGGGTTTGAGTCCAGTCTGGTCTACAGAGAGAGTTCCAGGACAGTCTCCAAAGCTACACAGAGAAACCCTGTCTTGAAAAAACAAACAAACAAACAAATAGAGGCTCAATAAAAGATTAAGACCCTATATTCGATTTATAATACCAAAAATAAAGGAAAAAATAAATTAAATATCCCCTTCCATGGTTGTGACTTATGTGCTTGAGACAGTATTACCCACGCCGTAAAGAACTGATATCTAGGGAAGGACAGCGGCTTCAGGGCAAGTCTGTGGGAACCTTGTCAATCAAATGCATGATAGCAGCTCTCTTCTTCCCCTGAATCCCCAGGCAGCACAGTTTATTTCTAAGTCTAGGGCCAGGGCTGGAGAGACTGCTCAGCAGTTAAAAGTGCAGCTGCTCTTTCAGAGGACCCAGGTTTGAGTCTCAGCACCCACGTGGCAGCTCTCAACTGTCTATAACTCCAGTCCCAGGGAATCCAATGCCCTTTTCTGGCCTTCATGGGTACCACACACACAGTACACAAACAATACATGCAGGTAAAACACCTACACACATATAATAAAATGTATATGTTTTTAAATACATGTATACATACATACACACATACAGTACCTTAGGCCATTCTGCCACACTACCTCCTGCAATATGGTCCACTTTCAAAAAAGAGAAAGCAAGCTTGGCCAGAAATACTTTGTTTCCATAGGAAGGATTTCTAAAGCACAGCTGTTTTGGGGCTGGTGACAGGTGAGTGACAAAGGACTGAAGTGCAGAAAATGGAGAGGGAAAAGGAGACAGGAGAGAGGTGGGGAAGAAAACAGCATGTGGAGAAGGTTTGTTAAAAAGAAAAAGAATTTACTAGGGAGTCAGAGGCAGGCAGGTCTCTGTGAGTTAGAGGCCAGCCTGGTCTATGTAGTGAGTTCCAGGAAAGCCAGGGTTACAGAGATAAAAGAAAAATGGCTCAGTTAGTATGTTGAACAGGCAAGAGGACCTGAGTTCAGATCCCCAGCCCCCCATAAGAGCTTGACCTGTACACATACATCACACACAACACAGGCACATACATGAACCTGTACAAACACACAAATGAATTAATCAAATTTAAAAGAGAAAGAAATGGAGTCTTGAGATAAAGCTTAAAAAATTACAAATTCAAACATTGAAAAGAAAAACAAAACAAACAAACAAAAAATCCAGGCTGGACTGGTGTCATATGCCTTTAATTCTAGCACTCAGAAGCAGAGGCAGGCAGATCTCTGTAAAATTCAGGCTAGCCTGGACTACATGTGAGTTCTAGGCTAGCCCATCTGGGGATACATGTCAAGGCCCTAGCACATAAAAACAAAACAAGACAATTGTGATGGAAAATACCAAAAGCAGCAAAACCCAGCATGCTGGGAATGGCGCACACACCTGTACCCCAGCATTTGGGAGGCTGAAGCATGAGGACCACACATCTGAAGCCAGGTGTCTTAATAAATACCTCCATTGCCATGATAAGACACCATGGCAAGACCATTTGTAGAAGAAACAGTTTTCTGGAGGCTTAGTTTCAGAGCGTGAGTACATGGCATCAGGCACGTGCTGCAGGCACACAGAACTGGAGTATGAGAGTCTGTATCCTTAGCAGGCAAAGAGAGCTAACTGGGAATGGGCTTCTGAAACCTCAAAGCCTGCCTCTGATGACACCCCTCCCCATCAGGGCCACACCTCCCAATCCTTCCTAAAGAGTTCCAACAACTGGGCTAAGTATTAAAACATGTGAGTCTTTGGGGGCCATCCTCATTTAAACCACCGCCTCAGGCTAGGTTACGTAGATCCTGCCTCAAAACAGTCACCCCAAAGATATGAGCGGGAATAGAGAGAAAGCGGGAGAAGACAAAGGTGTTAATAATTGGCAAATCTCAATTTTCTCTTGCTGCAGTTTGGAAATCTTTTCTAAGCCTCATCTCTGTCTCTCCTACTGTATAGAGTGACAAGAATTTGGAGCCCTCCATAGCCCAGCCCCCACAAGCTGTGATCCTGAGTGTTTGGAGGACAAGAGAAGTGGGCAGAGACACAGGCCTGACCTTTAGGGTTCTCTCCACCCCATCTGTCAACCCCTCTGAGTGTGGACCTGTATGAAGAATGCAGCTTGCTGAAGACACCTATGACATTAAATGAACATAGACACGATGAGCCTTGTATGTGTTGATTTTCTCCAGGTAGTACAAAATGCTAAGATGGTGACTGGTGTAGCGCTTTTCTTTCCTGTTGGGCCGACAGCATTTCCAATCTAGAGGGAGCACCCTCATTACCCATCTCTGGGCAATGCCACCTCTGAGATCTAGACTCTGGCCACCTGTGGACAGCCAGTGGCTTGTGATAGGGCCTCACTCCAAAAAGACAGCCAGGAAACAGAAAGCATCTCCCAGCTCTCTCAGGAGGACCACAGAAATCCAGGAACCTTCTGATGAGAAAGTGAGAAAGTGAAAGCTTGGCCTAGCTCTGACCTCCATGGGGACAGTCAAGTCTTTCCCATGTTGGTTGGGAGGAGAAGCAAGGAGGGAATCCAAGAGCTAAGGTGGTAGAGGGAGACCAAGGAGGTCATGCTGTTCCCTAGGTAACCCTCCTCAGGCAGCAAATGGGCACTTCTCAGGGGCTGCCCTCCCTAAGACAATGATCCTGGAAAAGCCGGAGTCAGAGTGACAGCACAGGCCTTCTGCCTGGAGTTGTGAGGCCCTGCTCCATGATGGAAGCTTAGTAGTGCCCACCAACACACACACACACACACACACACACACACACACACACACACACACACACGGGACAAATGCACCCAGCAGCCTTTTTAAATGTTAATTGTGCCCCTGAGTCTGTCTGATGTCTGGTCCTCTTGAAAGGTACTTTTATTTGCTATTATTACTTGTTTTTGACTGTTTATTGTGAAAGGCGATGATGCAATAAAACATCTTTGGTACCCAGCGTCCTTTCTTGTTTTGGGAGCTTTTGGTGGTATACACAGCAGAGAGCCCCATTTTATTTTGTTTCTGTTTTGAGATAGGTCTCAGGTATCCCAGGCTGACTTTGAACTTTCTACATAGCAGACAATGACCTGAAATTTCTGCCCTTCCTGCCTTCACCTCTCTAGAGCTAGGATTATAGGTGTGTGCCACTATAGCTGGTTTATGTGGTGAGTAGGGATCATCCCAGGACTTCATGAATTATCAGATAAGCCCCTTAGCAACCAAGCTAGACCTTAGTCCCTGGCATAAGTATTACTTTATTTCTTAAGGATTTGTTTCTGGTGATATCTTCCTTGCACAAATAAAGTCTGTCTGGGGGTCAGAGAATAGAACTTGCCACTAGCTAACCATAGAAGTCTGGAGGTCTGTACAGACAGACAGGAAGTGAGGTAGCCAGGCAGAAACAGGAAATGGCTCTCTTGTCTGCTGAGGTGCTAAGGAGGTAAGGTGTGCTGTGGCTTGCTCTACCTCTCTGATCTTTCAGCATTTCCCTCTGTATCTGATTCCAGCCTTTTATTATCTAGACCAATTAAGAGCTCATTTTATATTTGTTTTATTTTAAAGTGTGTGTATATGTGTGTGGGGAGGGGTGGGGTGTATGGGGGTAAATAAGTAGGTAGGTATAGATAGTCGTGGAGGCCAGAGGCATTATATCCTCTAGAGCTAGAGTTAAGGCAGATGTGAACTAAGATGTTGAGAACTCAAAACTGAGGTCCTCAGCAACAGCAGTAGATACTCTCAACTGCCAAGCCATCTCTCTGGTTCTCCCTTACCTCTCATTTTAAACAGAAAATGTGACGTGACACGCAAAGCGACTGTCATTTGCTGCCCATGACATTTTACCATGTCACAGATCATGTTGGCTGCTATCCCCCAAAGGCAGCTCCATGACAAGTAGCCAGGCCATGGGTGGGGCTCCTGCCACTTCCAGCTCCAGGCACTGGCCCAGGGCAATCTGTGGAGTCCTATCCTTCTGCCACTGGGGTGGACTTAAGCTGAACACCTATGTAATATATTGGAAAATTGCCATGTTCTATTTCAGCTTGTTGAAAGTACACTCTGGGAGCAAAGAATCTCTTTTGTCTCGACTCAGATGTTTATTTAAAGTATTTTTCCAAGCTAGGCAGTAGTGGCTCACACCTTTAATACCAGCAGTCCAGAGGCAGAGGCAGGCAGATTTCTGTGAGTCGAGGCCAGCCTAGTCTACAGAATGAGTTCTGGGACAGCCTCCAAAACTGCACAGAGAAACCCTGTCTCGAACCCCCCACCCACCCAAGAAAAAAGGTATTTTCCCAAACTCCCTATCCCATGGCTGGTGAGGGTGATAGCTGCCACTCCTGACAACCTGAGTTCTATACCTGGGACCCACATGATGGGCAGAGTCAGGTGAATCTGAGTTCAAGGCCAGCCTGCTCTACAAAGAGTTCCACAACAGTCTGAGCTACACAATGAAACCCTGTCTCAAAACAAAACCCAAACACACACATACATACACATAAACTGCTCTGTCTTGGGTCAGGCTGGTCCTAGGAAAGCAAACTCTCTCTGGAACAGAGAAAAAGGAAAACAGAAGTTAGAAGACATTGTGTCCTTGAAAACAGCCAGAGGTAAATCATTTCCCATAGAGGTTACTGTTGTTTATCCCTTGGTATAAAAATGACTGGAGGGAAGAGGAAGCTGGGATCCCATCCCTGGAGAGATAGGTCAACCAGGACTCCCTCTGGCTGCCTCAACCTCCCTAGTTGATTTCTGGCTAGATGTTGTAAGTCATTGATTTGATGTGTGAACTAAAGTTTCCAAGAGGAGGAAGGAGGGACAGGCAGAGGATAACTGTAAAAATAATTTTTAAAGAATCCTATGACAGAGGCGTCTGGGTACCCTGTGAGTCTCACGAGGTTGTAAGATACCTGATGTAGGTGCTGAGAACCAAACTCTAGTCTCCCAGAAGAGCAGGACACGTTTTTAACTTCTAGTCCATCTCTCTAACCCCAATAAAGCCACTCCTTAGCTACTAGTGCCCACAGTAGAGAAACACTGAGAAATCTGACAGGCTAATGCAATTGAGCAACAATGTCAGTGTAAATGCAGGAATTAACTTAAGTCAGCCGATCATGGCGATTTGCCATCGCAGACTTCACTTGGGTGCACGCAACCTCCCTTGCTAGCAGGCAGCTCCAGCGGGTTGAGTTGACTATCTGATCCCATCACCCCTGTTTGCTTCTGACTCACCATGGGCCAGCTCCCAGCACTTCTCCAACATCCTGAGTCAACAAGTGTTCTTTGCTTCCTAAGCCTTTCTTCAGAGACTCACTATTGCATATACAAATAGTTCTCTAAAGTCCTATTAAAGGCAGCACACACCTTTAATCCCAGCACTAGGGAGACAGAGACAGGCAGATTTCTGTGAGTTACAGGTCAGCCCCAACACCCAATCTCAAAAACAAACAAACAAACAGCGTCTGTAGTCCAGCTGACCTCAAATTTAATTTGTAACCAGAGATAACCACGCACTTCTGGTCCTCCTGCCTCCCTCCCAAGTGCTGGGATTGTAGGTGTGCACCTGTTGAACAGGACTTTTCTGACCCAAACTGAGTTCTGCTGAGCCTACTCGAAAAACTTCATCACACCTGGTTGTAGTGAGATATTCACCTTGTCTGCACCTGTGGCATGGACCACGCCCATGGGGTGGAGACAGGGCCGAACGTGACCTTGGGGAACTAAGGTTGAGGAGAGGGCTTGGAGAGCTCTCTTACTGGCAGCACAGGGACAGGAGCACTTCCGGAGGCATCCTTGGGACCAGGAACCTGCTGGTGTTCATCTGTCTATGTTGTGAGTTATTTCTCCCTGAATAAACATCTATTCGGCCTATTTGTTTCTCCTGATCCTTATTAAACATCAATACCTGGGCCTATTGGCTATTTACCTTCCTTCATAGAAGGGGTGGGAAGGGTCATGGGACCCTAACTTGCCTCACTTGAGTATCCACCCTAAATATTTGTATGCAATTCTATCCCTACGGCATGTGCTCTTGGGGCACGGGGCCAGAGGGTCTAGGTGGGGTTGAGGGAACCGGCCGGGCTCCATCCATCTACACAGCCATGGGGAAGTTGTCATCTCCCTGAGGTTCAGATCTTCCAGGAGGACTTCTCTGTGTAGCCCAGGCTGTCCTGGATTGTGTTCTATAGACCAGTCTGGCCTCAAACTCAGAGATCCGCCTGCCTCTGCTTCCCGAGTGCGGAGATGAAAGGCATGTGCCACCACAGCCCAGCTCCAGCTCCGCTGGCTGCTTTAAGGTATTTCATGTTGCTGCCACAGCCCCGCCCATTGCCCTGTAAGCCTAATTAGCTCGTTGGTCCCCATAGTGGACTTCGGTGGAATCATATCTGGGTTTGTTGGGCCCTTAGGAGGGAAGGGAAGGTGTTTTGGGCTTTTGTTTTGCTTATTTTTTTTGTTTTGTTTTGTTTTGTTTTATAAATGTTTGCCTACACACCAGAGGCATCAGATCTCATTTAGATGGCTGAGTCACAATGTGGTTGCTGGGAATTGAACTCAGGACCTCTGGAAGAGCAGTCACTCTCCAGTCCTGTTCATCCCCCCCCTCCTCACCCACCCTCAGGTGTTTTAGCAACAGCACAGCTCTGCTTCACTTGGACATTGGGACAGCATACAAAACCAGGCATTTGGATCTTGACTGGTCCCTAAAGGCCCTGAGCATTAAAGGGATGACTGCAGTTTGTACTGATGCTACAAGTGCTTGGGACTTCAAAACAATACCTGGCAGGAGAAAGTTTATTGTGGAATATTATTTTAAGATGTGCTAATTTGTTTATGATATGGAATATTTGTTTAATGATGCAAAGACGTGTTGCTTTTTTATATGTTGCATTTGTTTAATGATGAAAAGCTGTGTTACTTTGCTTGTCTAAAATACCTGATTGGTCTAAATAAAGAGCTAAACAGCCAATAGGCAGGCAGGAGAAAGGGTAGGTGGGGCTGCCAGGCATAGAGAATAAATAGGAGAAAAGGAGAAGAGAGGACACTAGAGGCCAGCCAGCCACTCAACCAGCCACAAGTAAGTCATCAAGAAAGGTATATAGTATAGACAAAGATAAAAGCCCAGAGGCAACAGATAGATGCGATGATTTAAGTTAAAAGCTGGCAAGAAACA